CAGATGAACAGACCATGGACGCTCAGAAGAACATTGTGTGATTATTTTGATTTTCTGGAGAAAACCCATTTCATAATTATATTCCAAAGATAGTCGTTTTCATTTTGTTCGATTTCTTATCGAGAGAGATACAAAATGAACGAATCACTAAGACCTCTAGCATAAGTATTTCTTTTGTTCTCGTTTACTTTTAGAGAACAATTATATTTTGTTTTTCTTAGTTTCCACTGTATACTCCTTTATTAAATGATCTCAAAAAGTTTAACATGTGAATATTTTAAACAGAGATACTTTTCTTATGCTAAAATCTTGCCTATCCGATTCGAGCTCAACGGTGAGTCGATTTGTAAAGCTCTTTGTTCATGAATCTATTCTTTGATATTATTGTTCATTCATATTAAGAAGTTTAAAATCGAGTCATTTCCGATTGGCGACTTCAATCGAATTTCATTTCAATATTGAGAAATGTGAAACATTCGTCAAATATTCTTATAGCATGAAGAATCGAAAGGTACTCAACTATTTCACAATATGTCTATCTCAAAAGTGAAGATTGTAGAAGAAAAACTTCGAGACTTAAAGTTTGATCGTAATAAAATTTCAGTATGAAATTATTGAAATTGAGAAGTTCTGCAATCAAATGCAATTTACTTGGTTGAAGACTTCATTTTGTTAATCCGAGAAAACGAAATGAAGGAAATTTTTTTTTGATTTTAAATAGAACACAGAGTTAGCTTCCGTTTTAAGATAAATTTTATTGATGAACGATGTTGTTTTGTATTGAATTTTGAAATATGGTAAATTATTGAGAATGTCTGCTTCGGTGAAATCTTTTTCTTTACGACATTGAATCGGTTACTCTATCAATTTTTTCCATTCAGGCTCGTGATTAATGTCACATATGATGAAATACAATAAGAGTTCATGACGAACTTCATCTGCCACTTGTCGTATCTTCTCGATCGATTTGTTTCATTAATTCATGCTTTTATGGCTCCAATGTTTGTTCTGCGATTTCAGTTGTGTACCTATTAAACTGTTCATCCGTTTCACCTAATGGTGTTTTCCTACATCTGGTACAAGCTGTTCTGAGAGATTTTGTGGTCATGGAAAGGTATACTTTACAAAAACAAAGAACAAATAAAAGAGAATTGATAAAACGTAATAGTAACAATAAACGATTTAGTTTTCTATTTAGTAAAAAAAACGAATTATTGTGCATTCAGATTTCATCATACGAAAATTAACAGTCAACCATAATCAATGTTTAAAAATTTCGTATCGATATAAAGAAAGTTCGTTCATTTTATTGTAAACTTGTTCAACTCAATTTTGAAAGCAAAATAAAATCATAAAATCGAAACAAAAGATGAAAGATTTTAAACTTAGAAAAAAGTGCATTTGCGTTCGTTTATTATCATAGTAGAAAATCTTTTTAGTTTGCATTGTTTTATAGAACTTGATTGCAATCATTTGAATTTATCTTATTATAATCGATTGAAACTCAAAGAAATTTGTCACTTGCGTGGATAGTATTTATAGAAATCTATTCAAGATGATCAATTCGTAGAATCTTCATAAGCAATGTTCAGATGAAAAATCGTCAGATCTTTTCAAATAACAAGGACAGTAACTATTCAAATGATTTTCTTTATTGTCTAAACATCCGTGGAAAGTTGGAAAGATATCTTTCAAGAACATGTTACAACTTCTTCGAGAATTTTATTACTTGATTTATTTACACGAAATGTTAAAATCATGTCGAACTCAAAGCGATCAAATCATTTTTGACTCGAATAATAACAAACAATATTAGTAATAAAAATTGTTTGTCTTTATGGTTCATTGTTTTTTTTTAAATTCGAATTGTAAATAAAACCAATAAACTGTTAATACGGGAGTCGTTTGAAAACTTTTCTTCTTTAAATCAGCAGTTAATGAGGTTTAGAAAAGAATCATTGAATTCACTAAAACCAAAAAATCAAAATAAATGATTGAATTATCAAATAAGGTGCCATTACTTACGAAATCAGAAAATGTATTTCATTGTTTTTTTTTTTTTTTGAAATTTAATTCTTTTTCTACAATCAACATACTTTGTTCAAAAACATACTAAAAACGACAAACAAGTTTACGTCAAATATTGACAAGTAAAGACAACTGAAAGATTTCTACGAAAGAAAAAAGTTATTTTGAAAACAATTTCTCGAAAATAGATTAGTTTTTGTTTCTTCATCTCTTTTAACATTGTTTGGTCATTATATTTTACAAGAATTATTATTAATAGTTGTCATCTATCAAAATATTACAAAGTACAAGCTAAGAATATCAAGCATTATGAATTTTATCAAAACAAATTCTCTTGGTGACTTGATAAGACAAAAAAGTGGTTGCGCGCAATCATCAAATTTGTTTCTTAATCTCATCGAGCATTTTCCTAATTAAGTGAAGTTGTTTACTTCAGCAATAATTAAGAAATAGAAAACAAAGATTATCGATAGAGATTGTAATTGACTTGTTATTTGAATCAACAAAATCAATTAAAACTATTTTAAAATACTCATCAATAAATTTCAACGAAATATTCATCTAACGAACAATTATAATTGTAACTCTTTTAGATGAATTTACTATTGTTTATTTCTGATATAAATATTTAGAAAGACATCAAATTAATTTGTTTATCTTTGAAAAAATGATCAAATGAAAATTGCAGTGATATTTCATATTGATTTGAATTTATAATAAATGAATTATAAAGAATAGAACATTTAATTTCTTTTCAACATCCTTTCAAATAAACTTTTCTTGTTAACGAAGAATAGGAATGTTTGACATTTGATCAATTAGTCACCTTCGATTGTCTGAAAAATAGCAAATTATTTTTATCAGTCTGAATTCATGAAATCTGTTGCTAAAAATGAAGAATTTAACTTCAATAGATAAAAAGTATTTATTCAAATAAAAGAACGAAAAGTCTCAAACATAAGCACTGATACATACATAAGTGATCAAACAAAGTCCTTGTGTTCGTTAAACAGCATCTTTCCAATTAACTCTCCTGAAGAAATAGTTAGTTCTATTTGTACATCAAAATCGTTCAAACTTTTAAGAGTTTTATAGTTTTTTCTGTTGACCAATTATTCTATCGAGCAACCTTAAGTTTAACATTAAATAGAATGATAAATGTAAATGATCTCGAGACTCCTTTTTAAGTAAAGATTTCGTCTCATATTTCACTTTGAGAATTGTGACCGATCGAATGGTCTTCTCGTAAGTCTTTTTAAATAAATTTCTTTCTGACTTTTGGTTTATTAAAGAAAACGAGATCAGAATATAAATACTGAAAAATAGTGATTCTTGTGGAATCATTTGCTTTTCGTTTTCCTATAGATTCGTTGAAGAGTATGTTTTTATTAGCATGGTTCATTGTCAAATATCGCATCATGATAGATTCAGATATCGAGATTTCTCAGTGATATTTACTGATCATTTTTCTATAATATCTCTAATCTATTTCTTCCAATTAAATATTTATTGCAACAAGCTTCAATATTTTTACTATAGGTTTTCTTTATTTCGCTCGTCCAATTTTGCAAAGATGCATTCTGCTCATAAAATTGGATTTTTCAAGCATCAATTATTATCCTAGTTCTTGGATTCATTACTAATGAACTTTCAGGAGTCATTTTATTTAATAAAATATACTTTCTGTTGTAGTTTTTCTTTTAAAAAATTCAATGATGTTTTAATATCGATGAAAAAATCAAGTGTAGAAAAGGTGACTAGACCATAAAATAAAAAAGTAAATAATTAGTTTACTCAGAAAATAATCAGAACATATGTAGTATGTAACTTGTTCAGCAACAATAATATCTTTTCGGTGTATGCAAGTCGAATGGAGTCGAATCGAATGAAGATTTTCTTATTCATTTTGGTCTCTGACAACAAGGGTATGGGTGTTATTCTTCATTTAGCCCACACACAAGTGCAATCACATCCACATCCTCCAATATCATATATGAAATGAACTTGAAAATAATCGATACGTGAAAGCAGTTGGGTACTATTTTACGTATGTTACTTAGCGCACAATTGAATTCAATTTACTTGCATTATCACAAGAGGAAATTTAGCATTATAATAGACCTCACACCTTCGATTATTTAGACACAATATTCTTGAGTGAAGGTGTGCTTTTTTTTCTGTTCATAGTCATACGTATATCTTGATACCATTTTAACGAAATATAGAACTCACTAGAAGCTTGCAAATTGATAATTTAAAAATGTATTTCCATCATTGAAAATGTCTGTTTACCGATACAAATGATTATTTAAAACAGTTAACGGAATAAAACACTGAAGGAAAATCTTCAGCATTCATAAGTTGTACAATCTAAGGATTCTACCATGGATTACTAATACTAACTTATTGTAGACATTGGAAGTGTGTGAATTATTCAAACGATTATATATGTTTTCAGATATTTGTTGAAATACATGCGAACAATTCACAACGTTCCGATCTATTGTTTCGTCCCATTAGTCAATTTTTGCCGAATTTCTTTATCGTCAACCACGGTTTTCGGAGACTTCCGACTTCATCACAAGAATTTGTCGCTCATTCCAATGACCTACACCTTTAAAGAATATAATATAGAGCTCGAATTAGTATTTATATTTCAATTAAAAAAAAACACCAAGCGCGTCGAAGATATTAACTCTGCGTATCTTTAGTTTTTCTAATCAAAACACACGAATTTATCATAATATAATTATTAAATATTCGGCTTAGTCAATAGCTGACAAGCAGAAGTTGAATGGTAGTAGATTGAACTTGTCTTTTCTTCATGAGATAGATCAGTCTGCTCTTAATTGATTTACTTACCCATACTCGCACATGCCTATTTGCATTTTATATTTATTGTTGACACAATTTATTCATTTAGTTTCACCCTCGAACTCACATATTTGTAAAAAAAAATGTTCTTGTATAATTCAGTGTTCTGGAGATTCATCAAAATATACTTGCATTTTTCGACCATCTTCCGTTTGTTGAACTGATCTTATTATGAATGGTACATAACGTAAGATTAACACTTCTCTATCGTCTGTAAAATCGGATATTTTTCCAAAATCAAGCGCTGTATGACGGCAAGTATTACTAATATTATATGTGCAAAATATTGATATCATATCTCTGAAACCTTCACAAAAAGAATAAGATACATTTTGCTCTGTAGATGTAAATAGAAATGTTGTTGTTATTATTGTCGCACCTTCCTTGTAATTGGCTGCGTATTTCTTATCTTTAAGAATTATACCACGATATACTGTTTTCTTTCGAACTAGGAATTCATCTAACTTTGGATGAAACAGAATAGTGGTAATTGCTTCTGTGTATTCTTGTGTTCGAGCCAGAATAGGACAGTTCACGACGGTGCAGTAAAGTTTTAGTAAATGATATGAATTTGCAGCTGAATGCTTATTTAGACACTCAGTGAATTGTTGAGAACGAGTGAGGGCTCTCATAATCACCAATGGATTATCCTCTTGACGGGCCTGTTTGAAAAGTTTTCTGATGTCATTCCAATTATAGTCATTAGGCATGGATTCTAGAAATGTTTCTTCTATTGTACGTGTTTGCCCAACTATACTCGAAGATAATTTTAATTTTTTGAAATCCTGTTGAAGACTTTCAGCTATTTTTATAGCATTTCCATTTTCATCAATATTCAAATGCCATTCTGGCCAGTCTACTCCAGTTTCCCTGCGTAATGGATCGTGGAGGTCGTATTCGCCAATGCAATAGACGTCTCGTTGTAAATTTTCCCAAAATGTTTCTTGTGATGTTTCAACTATGCTAGAAGACGATGTTAATCGTGAAATAGTTCTTCTTCTGGTAATAGCATGTAATCTTGTTAGCAACCATTGACAAGTTCTCGAAAACCATTCCCATCGAGCCATTACGTTCTTTCGAAAATTCCACGGAAAGGTTAGTAGCTCAAAAAAGCGTTTGAAGAATTTCTGTTTCAAAATTCCTAGTTTTAAATAGAGAGCACATTTAGAAAGTTCGTTTTAATCCATTCATTCTATAAAATGCTCAAATTCTACTAGTCTCATTTAGACACTTCTTGGAAGAAACCATCGGATTTTATTTGTTCAATCTATATTTCAAGTGGATCACAATAAGTTAGTACATAATACAAATCCATTTTCCTGATCAGTATGTATGAATTTAGTAAAAAGAAAAAAGAACAAAAATAATTATAACGAGATTCCACTATGTACTATTCAAATGTAACTAAGTTATGGAGACTACCGGAATCATTTACACCCTGCTGGTGAAGAAATATTCTGACATTGACGGGAAGTGAAAAATATCTCTAAACATATGCTATTGTCTAGAAAAGCGTGATCTGTGGTTGTTGAATCGGGTACAAAAAGAATGCTTCGATTTCTTACTCACTCATAATAGTTAGATGTAGATAAAATCAGAACAAAATTCATTATTGAACTATTAATAAATCTGTGTGATTAGCTGCAGACCTTAAAGTTAACTCATTTGGTCGTAGCTTCAAATCGATCCAATAACGTCAATGTTAATATAAGTGAGAAGTACTAGTGTGATTCTCTCAATGTCGACGTTTTCATCGATATATTGAGACGTCATGTTAACTATTTTGGATATTTCAAATTGATTTCTGAATTCGTCTCACTGTGAAGAGTACTCAATTTTTATATAATACTGTTTTTAACTTCCTTTGATTTTCGACAAACAAATAAAAAAGAAAATGTATACTTCAATTGAGAACTTAACCCATGCTCAAAGAGCGGCTATCCAGACCAGTGCTCTAATCATTGTGGAATCGAAACACGGCGAATACCTACTTTTCTTTCGGAATGGCATGTCAATACCGACAGTTATTAAAATGTTGCCACGATGATTTGGATGCAGCTGCATATAGCAAAACAATTTCTCAACGAAAGGAATATGAAGGTGATTTTTCTACTCTGTCAAGTGTGAATATGACTGATTCAAAGAACAACACAGTGTATATGCAATGTTTATGGAATACTGTGCCTTACTCTCGTTTGACTTTCGATAAAAAAAAAACAGAAAAGAAAATATATTCTTCAATCGAGAATTGTAACCATGTCTGAATATCAATTATCCGAACTAGTGGTCAGATCATTGAGCCACTCAAGCAAGGCTTCATATTCTGATGAATTTGGTCATATTCACTCTTGAAGAAGGCGATAAATCACGTTCGTATACACTTGGTTGAAAAATGGCTTCGATATATCCAGCTGCATCCTGCACATCGTGCAAATGTTAAAATCTTTCGATAATGAAATATAATTCAAGCCAGTAATTATATATATATATAAAGGCATATATTTTCTTTTCTGTTTATTTAGCAGAAATGAAAGGAAGTAAAAAACCCAGTATTGAATAAATATGACGTGCATGTTTTTCTTTTCTTTCAATCAGTTGTATTCATGTTGGAAAGGGTAGAAAAATCGCTTTCACATACGCTTGGCTGAGAAATTGCTTCATGGATTCGATTATCGTTTGAAGCATATAGTTCCTTTCTGTTTGACTATCGAAAACGAGTGGAAGTAAAAAGAAAACAGTATTTTATAAACGTTAGATATACTCGAGCCTCTCATTTGAATGAGGACACTCACTTATCCACCAATCACTGTAAGAAATCACTAAAAATGAGAATACATCCTATTCCGCAATGTTGCACATTGCGGGAACCAGTTCCGCCCCCGGAATCAGTTCCCTCAATTCCGGAATCCCTATAATGACCCTTTCATATAACTCCGGAATCCTAACAACCTAATTCCCACCAATTCCGGAACTCCTAGAACCTAATTCCTATCGATTCCGGAATTCCCTGACGGAATCACACTATCTCCCCGCACCCTCACTTGTTGCCTTGT